TAAAGTAGGGCTTAGAAATATTTCCATTTCCTTTAAAGTTTTTAATTTCTGATGAGCTAGACAGCTAAATAATAATCTAGTAAAAAATGATTGCTAGTGCTTAAACTCTTTCCAACAAAAATTCCAAATACTCAATTTTAAATATATGCAAAGAGGGCTTAAGCAAAAGGTTGAACAAAAAAGCATGCAAATTAGCAATGTTGTTTGTCACCTAAAAAAAAGTTTAAACTTCAAATTAATCATTGTTAAACAACAGCACACCTTAGGATGTTAAAGAATATGCATGATTTCGGGGGAATCTGCGATAGGTGAAACCAGAAATGTATACAGATTAAAATGTGTCTATATATAAAGACTGATCATTATGTCATCGCTTCGGTTCGATGTCGAATGCACAGACATCAGCACCCAATTAACCTTAGCAATAAATTTTTATAAAAATTCACTTTTGCAGCTTATCAAGGGAAACATTCCAGCGTGTATATATAGATGCATGTTTACATAGATTCATTTGGAGGATTTGCATTGGCTGCCGATCCGTAATTACGCTAAACGTTATGCGCATTTATTTCCCATTGATTTTGCATTTTAAATTTCGTTCGTGATTTTATTTGTGAGCTTCCAATGAAATAGATTGGTGTGTAGGAAATGTTAAGCGTAAATTTATATGGTTCAAAGTTGATTACTCGACATTTTTCGTCTGCATGTTTTTGTTAAAATATGCAAATCTGATGCTTTAACAACTTTAATATGCAGCTGACCAAAGAGCCAAAAACTAGTTTACGGTCAACGTTTTTTGGATGCATAATAGCTGACCGAATGACTTTTTTCAGCTTCGATTTTATGTTCATAGTAAATGAGAGCAAAGTGGGTGGGTGGGTTTATGGGCCACCCTAATGAGACCCAATATAAGCATAATTTTGGTCACTCTCAAATAATTTTGCAGATACTTTTCGTCGTTCGATTTGTGTGCGAGTATTTCCCTCTCTCGCCTGCCGTTTGCATTGACCCAATTTGTTTATTTATTGAAATTGCTTTTATGGGTAGCCCGAGACATAGTGTCTACCTCTTTCAGTGGCCCCCATAGTATCTCTTCAATCTACAATCATTTTCTGGCCCCTGCACACTCGCCTTCAATTATTATTTATCGATTCCAGCTCAATTTGTCAAATATATATTTTCCTCAGCCACTCTTGTGGGTTAGTGGTATAATTTGGCATTCGATCCAATGCATGAATCATTGAGGCTGGGGATAAAATATTGATGCTGAGATTCCATCGGAATCCAAAGTCGCTCTAGATCAAATGAGGTTAGTACTGTCTGAGCCCGGACTTCGAGGACACTCCCGTGGAAATTAAATTATAAATTTACACAGATTTATTCTTGTGGCTCCTCTGGGCATGATTCTTCCACAGCTTACCAAAATCTCTGACCACCCACAAATCGGTATAAATGACTTTAGTGCCTGGGGGCGTTGGATAACATGTAGCTCTATTTTGTGGAACAGAAAACGTGCAGCCCCCCTCTTTCCCCCCTCCGTGACATTGTCACCTCAGTCTGTCTGTTGTTGTAATTGCTTAGTCTAATTTATGCCAGCGGACGAAGCAAAGTCAATGTCGTCGCAGTGGGGCGAAATGAAACCGAAATGGAAAAGACCAAAACGAAAACAAACAGAGCCCCCAGACAGCGACATGAAAAAGCGTTTATCTAAGCAAAATGTTACCAAAGTCCGTAATTACAATTTATTGCAGGTAATTATGTAATTTTCGTGACGGATTTTCTTGTTTAGAGTTTGAAAGTGGGGAGACAAACTAAGTGCGTGCGTACACAGGGAACAATAGTTCAAAGTACATGTACTCCAATGCACTCTTACTTTCAATATGGAATGATTTGATTTATTAAGAGTTTTAAGTTGTCTGACTTAGAGAACCATTTTTGTTATATTCTAACCTTATATACAATGTAATTATGCCATAGTTTTCAGATCAATTGAACTCGTAAAATCTAAATTAGTTTATAAAACATTTTCAGCATAGGCAAAATGAATAATATAAATGAAATATATAAAAAGTAGGGATTTCTAGTAACCAAAGAAATAAGAAATGATTTATATCAAGCCACATTTTTTTGAATATTTATTCTCTGTGTAGTAAAGTACTTTAAAACCCCCATTCCCTCGATGCGCACCTATTTTAAATGACTTTTCGGATCGGAAAACTTGGTCGTCTAATTTTTAGGAGCCCATTGCATGTGGCATGCAACGTTGATTGCGGTTGACCATGCCTGGAAATCTCCGCTGGTGTTGCTCCTTGTTTTTGCTGCCTTGCAAGTTGTTTGATTTCTTGTTTGCTCAGTCAGCTCGTTGTCATTTCCTGTCCGAGGTTGGAAAATGGACAAATGCCATGGAGGATGCAGCGAGATGACTGATTCTCTGGCCGTTTATTCTTACCCTTTTAAGATGTTCTCGTTTGGATCTGAGACACGCATTTCCTGCTGCGATTATTAAGGATTGCGACAAGTCAATCGATTAATCATTGTGGGAAAGTAAAAATAAAGAGTAAATGTGGCAAGCCGACTCTGGATTAAAGCTCATTTATTGTGACATTTATTTAAAGAAAAAAGTTCAAATCACTGAACGAAACTCTTTTTTAATAACCATCTTTGTTATGTAAATTTTAGCTTAGAAATATAATTTTTCATTTCAAAAAGTTTCCCATAATTATTGGTGAAGAGCTCTACACTTAATTTATTTCTGCTTTAAGAAACATCTTTCTCTTTTTTTCAATGATGTTCGCCAATTAAAACCCCAAAGCTATCTAAATCACATTACCCGAGAAGAATAAAAAGAAAGAAATCCCTGTTCAAACCGCTTCCGTTAAAAATTGAAATTGAAATTTAATTTGCGGAGCGAGCTGGCGATAAAAAGCGCCACCTCATCAACAGCGGCATTAGTTTGCACATATTCAAATCAGTTTTTTATTTGCCGAACAAAGGCTGCAAAAGAAACGGGGGAAAATCGTTAAAATAAAAACAGTTGAAGAGGTGTTGGGTAAGCGGCGGAAAGACAGGAAATACGTTTGGCCAACTAAACAGGGAAAATGCTGAGGAGAAAAACTGGAAATCATTGTGCGCCCCAGCACCGAACTTCCCTCCCCCTCCTCCTCCTCTTGCTCCTCCTCCTTCGGCATCATTAACATATATTTGAAACGCAGAGGAATTCCGCTCTGGCCCTCAACCAGCGGGTTTTGTGGGTCCTCATGAAAATTTGTAAGTATGTTGGACTTGTCACTTGCACACTTCATGACCATATTTGTCACATTTGCGCCATGTTCGCGTGGCCAAGGAGCCCGCGGGGCAACCATCCAGGGGTCCGGCATTGGGTCCGCATCCTGTGGACCCTCCTCCCCCTTGGTTTTTCCCTCGGCGGGCAAATCAGATGCGCAACTAACGAGCAACAACCACGACAACGACAACGACGACGACATGGAAATTCGTTCGCTCTGCGTTTTGCCATACCGAGTGACCACAGGGTATGGCGAGGGGTATGCTGGATTCTACGGAACTTACTAAAAGAAGAAGTTGTTTTAAAATCCAGAAGTAGAGCAGAAGTAGAGCCTTAACAATTATACGAGTTTTTAAGGGCTTTAAACATAGAAAACACAGAAAACCATTACAATGATGACATATTCTGATTTTCACTTTAACAGATCTCAATTCAAATCTGCAACTATTAAAACTTTCAATGTTAAAATAATATATTTTATACTTTATTAAATCAAATCAAAATGTTTTAACCAAATAAATAAAAAATCTTCATTGCTTTTAATTTAAACTTCTTCTGAGTATTTTCTAATCCAACACACTTATTTTATTTATTTTGTTTTTCATTAAAGCAAAGATCTAATCCACTTTAAAGTTCTGCCTTATCTTTAAAAAGTTATTTATTTTAATAATTTAACAACTTTAAAGTGATTTAATATTATCAATACAAAAATACTGAATATTTCTTATTCGACTACAAATTTAAGTTGAGCATTCACAACTTGCTTTTATTGTTTTGCCGGCTGCTACTCCAAATGCTCCCGCTGCTGATGCTCATGCTTTCTGCGGTTGCCGCAGACGCCTCCTGGCCATATTTGTATGAATAAATGCGTATTTAAGCACATACTTACAACACTTGCCATGTATGGAGCCAGCAGCCCGAAAGACAAGGGACAGAGGCTGGGGATCGGGGGGGCCAAAAGGATCGGGAGCTGGGGGAATTCTGGGGACCCAGACAAGGGACAGTTCCCAGTGGCAATAGGCGAGGCCCGGCATTTTGCATTTTTCCCTTTACGCTTTTCCACATTTTCAGATATATATTTTTCTGCGGCGGCTCAGACTCACATTTGCTTTATGCTGGCCTCACCTTTTCCAGCATATTAAATTGCGGAAATATTTCAGATGTGAAAACAGTTGCACGGCCAAATTGCACGGCAAACAATTTATTCATTAAGGCCGAACAATTTGTTAAACTCTTTTTTTGCACCAGGTGGGCACTAATTCAAATGCAAAATTGCTATTTGAGTAATTGAATATTAAATAATTATCTAGAGTTTATCTAGGCGTAATCGGATGGGAGGTAAGTTCAAAATGCATTAAACGAAAAAATCTAGTTAATGCATGTTATTAAATGGAATCAAGTTTATCGGGAAATGCGGAAAATTAATATCATCGTTCAATGGAACCATTAAGGCATTAGCATAAATAAATAATTAAAATTTAAATTAAAAAAGCAAATTTCCAGCGATGTGACTGAAAAAGAATCTGACAAAAAATATGGGCATTTTAAAAAAGTCTGTCCTCAGAGCGATTCCACTCGGTATACATTTAAATGAATATTTTAAGCAAATCATAAATTGCCGACATGCAAACCTCTTTGTGATATTATTAACAATTTACGATGCTGCCGCAGCTGGATTAAATTATTTATGGTTTTTTGCACATTATTCTCGTTTCAGGCCCTCCATCAACAATATGTTTGACAACAAGTTCCGGCATTGGAATTGAATTTAATAAAATAAATTAAGCCACTAGGCGGAGTGGGTCAAAAGCGCACAGTTTGAATTGTTAATGAGCAACGACAAAAAGTGTTAAATGCTGATGACGCTGCCAGCATTTTTGCTGCCTCTGTCGACGTCGCTGTCGCTGATTCAACAGTGCTGAAAAGTCAATTAAAGGTAATCAAATCGAAACTGATTGCATTACAACACCGGTGACAATAATTTTAATTCGCATTGATGTTGTCACTTATTTCATTTCATTTTGTGCTAAATACAACAATTAATTGGGGACAGCTCCCTGTCAATCCTCGACCCCCCTCCCCCTCACATGTCTGTTTTCCAACCCCCCTCTACTCCCATGCTGTCGCATTGCGTTTTTAAACGCGCTGTCTGACGAGTTTGCTGGCACGCGGTTTTTTGGTTTCGGATTCAGGTTTGTTTTTTAGCAACTGCATTGAAATTTGAGGATTATGACTAAGATTTGTTTTGTTAAGGGGGATTATATAATAAGCCTATGGCATTATTATAATACAAATGGTAAACCAATCTCATGGTGTTGATTTTAATTGGGTAAAATATATGTGCGGGCAAATATTGTATTCGAGATATAACATCAAAAATTAATAAATTTAAGGAATCTAATCAACAATCAATGAATGTAAAAGTATATTTTAAGAAATCTTTAGACTTAAATGCTTTTTATTCCTTTAATGCTCAAAAATTGTAGTTTATTTTTAAAAAATAAACAACTATTTTGCAACTATTAGATTTCACATTTTAAATTCAATGAATATATAGCAGAAAAATAGTTAAATATATATCTGTAAGAATCGAAAATCAACTTGTATAAAGTATTCAGCTAACTACAACCCAATCCTCAGAGTTTTTATTTGTTTTTACGAAGCAATCAAATACAACTTTTCCAAGCTTTCCCAACCATAGGGACTTGGTCTCCGCCACTTACGTGCCTTTTTGGGGTTAACCAGAACAACTTTAAGTAAGCAACAGCAGCAACAACATATTGCACACTAATTGCAAGTTGTTAATGTTGGCAAAACAGAGCGAGCAACTCAATTGAAAATCTTTGGCGACTCTGAAAACTTGGCAAAGTAATATAAATCACCCAAGGGATCAGGGGAATGACCCGGGGAGAAGTCGAGAACTCGGGGCTGAATGGACGCCGGTTTAATGACGCAAGTAATTGCAACAGCAACCGGCAACTTGCAACTTGCAACTTGCAACTGCCAACTGCCAGCAGCAACTTGCACCGCGATCTGAAAACGGCAAAGGGGCTAGACTTAATGAAAATCAAACAAAGCAAGCTGCGCAACAACAATAACTCAAAGTCGGTCAACTGTGCAGGGGGAAAACTCCGTCGATATGCTGCACCCTCCCCCTTCCGAAAAGCAATAATTGATAAACGAACATGAGCGAACAGATGTACAAGTGTTCAAATGAATGAATCAAGCTCAATGACGACGATGATATCGAAGACATGTGAGCCAAATCAATTGATTTATGCAGCTGAAGTTGCCTTTGAGGACGGGCTTTTCGTTCGCATTTAATTGAAAGCAGTAATTAAATTAATGACTCCCCGTTCGGCGAAAAGTCTGGCTTTAATTAAGTCAGGGAATGACGGGTTTGCTGCTCTAACTAGACAACAGTAGACACTCTGGCATGTGCAACATAATTGTCACGCAATTCTTTGGCCCAGGCCAATGCACTCGCACTCGTTCAGACCATTCAGAATGCGGAAGTTAATTTATTATTTGTATGGAAACCAGAAACGCGCCAAAAAAAGACTGTGCCATGGCAACGCGTTAAAAACAGCGACTGAAACGCGCTCGCAGTATTTTGCTGACAAAACAGTTTCAAAACGTGACTTTTGTGCGAAGTGCTTACAATAACGATAGTAATAAACATATGATAACTAGTTCTAGAACAAGTAATATAGTACACTGTTATATTGAGGTCTTAAACGCAAAACATCATGGCATAAAAATATTAGAATTTTAAGGGAAATACTCTCCCTTGTAGAAAAGATTTATCTGTATTAATAACTGTCCTTAAATATATTAGATTTTTCCTTCACAGAAAACTGCTCAAATTTTGAATACATTCTTTAGCAAATCCACCCCTTTGAATTTGTATAATCATTTTAAATGATTAAATCAAATCTGGCATTTTATTGCATTCCTCAGTGGCGAGCATTTTTGCGGTCTGCGTCTTCTTTTCACTTACATATACCATTCCTCTGGCCGTCTTCGGCTTATGTATTCATAATTAAATTAATTAAATTCTTGCGCTTCAATTAAAATCTTATTAAGTTTCCGTATGCCTAGCCACCGTTCCCCCCATTCCCCCCCTCTCCACACTTTTCCCTTTGGAACAATGGAGAAACTGAAAAATTGCCGAGAATGGTGGCGAATGAGAGATGAGCGGCGGACAAAGAGGAAAAAGCGGGAAATGAAAAACTTCTTACAAAGCTTACTTATTCACACATCACACAGGCAACTGCAGACTTTTCACTCGCAAATACTTTTCCTGTCTCCAGCACACTCATACCCGCACACGTTAAACATTATTCAACGGCCAGGAAAAAATGAGGAAAAATATCGTCCTGTTCGTCCTGTTGTTGGTCCTTTTTTTTTTTTGGTGCTGCCAACCAGCACGGGATGCCAAAAACAAACAGGACGAAGAAAAATGCTGGCCGACCATGTGGTTCACTTGATGTTGCTGCCGTGTTGCAGTGTTGCTGCTGGTGTTGCAGTGTTGCTGCTGCTGCCGTTGCACATATTGCTGCTGCATTCTTCGCATAAATTTCGCCATCGCACTTATCTCATGTCTCGGGGTCTCTCTTTAAATGAGTCTGGTTAGCTCTCGCCAACCTTTCACTGAAAGAAATGGAATACGAAAATGAAAGATTGATTGCCAAATTTTCTGCATTTACGAATATGCTTGGAGTTTTTAAGGGTTATTTCTTACATTTGTTTAAGAATTCATCCTCACGGTAATCTAATGAATTTCTCATTTTCTTAGCTCATGCTTTAGTAAACATGAAAAGCATTTAAGTGAAAGAATACAGTGAAATTTAGTATAACATGTTCTTGTCGAATATAATTTATAGCCTTCTTTGTATTACAAACTTTTTAATGCTTTAAATTATTAATTTTTTTGTATGTGTCTTTGTCTCCTTCTTGTTCCCGCTCGCTGTGAGTTCGGAGCATAAACAATGGTGCTGCTTAAAGCAAAAAACCACGCTGCTCCCTTGCCCCTTCCACCCCCTTTACCTTTCGTTTCCAGCCACGTAGAGTTCTGCACACATGTGACTCTGCCCTCCGCCCACCGCCCACCGGAGACCCCCTCCCCAACGGCCTTGCTTCATGTGTAATTCAAAGGGGGAACGGAAGAGGAAGAGGAAGGGGAAGGCGGAGGCAGCGACAGAGGGCAGTAGGCAAAAAGTTCAGACTTATTTAATACTTTTTTTGTACTTCATCGTTGTACAATGTTGAGCGTGGAAATTTAAAAGCAAATGCAAACAATATGGAACATTTTAAATGCACAGTGAAATGGAAAACGAATGTATTGGGAGAAAATTTTTTATCAGAAAAATGTAGTTTGGAAAATATATTTATGTTAATAACTATTTGAAAACCCCATTAAAAACTAAAACAATTTTTATTTAACAATCGAATTTATTGGAAATTGATATCTATTAAACTGCTTAACTTCTTATCTCAACTTATAATTTAATATTTCGTTGAATTAATAAACAATTGGCAAGGTTTAAAAAACTTTAGAGTTAAGATATTTCTGTTCCTGAAGAGATAGATCATTAGCAAAATAAATTATTACTATTCCATGTATACAATGTCTTGGTTTGTTAGATAATCGTTATGAAGGGATTTACTAACGATAAAAAAGAGTTAATTTAATTATGTATGTAATAGTTAAATACTTATGTACCACTGTGTTTTTAGTAGACGGGACAGCACCGGGCAAGTAAATCACCACAACTGTGAAACTAAATTTTCAGGGCACTAAATTTACGCACAGCCAACTAAACCCAAGCGAAACTGAACCCCCGTTCAGGCCGGGCCAACGTCAGTTAACCCCAAACCGAGTGGAGCAGTGTAAGCTGCCCGCTCGGATCCTTGTCGCACTCGCTTTCCCTGGCTGTCCCTGTCTTTCCCCCACTTTCTCTTCCTTTTGTTATATCCTTGCCGTGCAATTTTCACCATTTTGTGGTGCACTTTGCGCCTGGCCGCGATTTTGCGAAAGATTTATAGCCCACGACATGGAAGCGGAAGCGCTGCTGTCCTGGCCACTAAGTCCAGCTGCAGGTATGCACCACCCACCGCCCAGTGGCGCCACCACTTATCAACCACCACCACCCCCCACCCACCTGCTTGTTGAGTCAGCAACAAAGGGGCTGGGAAAGGGGAGGCAATGTCGCGCCGAGTCCGCTCCTAATGCCTGTCAGCAAATGCCGTTGTAAGGCGCTAAAGCTGTCCCTCCAATCCGTTATTCCAAATCCTCTACACGCAGAAAAATGTATGACTACAAACGCTTTAGTTTTTTAAAGTAATACGCAAATATGTGTGGGAGCGTGTTACCTATTTACCTTTATTTTTAAGATATTAACTTTATTAAAGACTATTCAATTTAATAATATTAATTAATATTGTTTTTTTTAAGTTACTAAAAAAAATGTATACAGTTCATATGTCGAATTATTTAAACTATTTAAAGTAAAGCCACACAAAACATTACATTTCAACAAAAGAAAAAAACATTTTTAAACGTGCAAAGTTTTTGGGTTCGCTCAAGTTGTCTCATTTTCATTTAGCGCCCTTTACCTTTTTACTATTTAATGCTTAATTTAAATACAAATCCGATCTGTTTGCTGACTTTTGTCGATAAGCGGGACCAGAAATGATGGCAAAAGTTGGCCAACTTTTTCCCATCTGAAGAAGAAAAGAAGCGAAGCGGCTGCAGAAAAAATCATTTGCTTAGGCAATGGCAATTTAATTTGCTTTGGCTTAGAGCTTGGCAAACTTTTTGGCACTTGAAATGAGAGTTCGACCAAAGGGATCTGGGTTCTAGAGTTACAAGCCTCACTTAAGGTCTTAAGTCCTGAGTACACAAAGTAAGAAAGGATATGGGGGCTATAATGG